CGTCAGGAGGCCAGGCCCTGTGCTCCTCAGAGTCCCAGCAGGAGGCCAGTCCCTGTGCTCCTCAGAGTCCCAGCAGGAGGCCAGTCCCTGTGCTCCTCAGAGTCCCAGCAGGAGGCCAGTCCCTGTGCTCCTCAGAGTCCCAGCAGGAGGCCAGTCCCTGTGCTCCTCAGAGTCCCAGCAGGAGGCCAGTCCCTGTGCTACTCAGAGTCCCAGCAGGAGACCAGTCCCTGTGCTCCTCAGAGTCCCAGCAGGAGGTCAGGTTCTAATACAGATGTACTTTGATTCTGGTAGTTATTTCTTAAATGCTCGAAAGCCTCTGATGTTAATGAATTGATTGTTAGAAGAAAACTCGAGATTTCCCAGAGAGAGAGAGAGAGAGAGACTGGTGACAGTTTCTCTTTTGCTCTTTTACTTTAGCCTCAAGGAATTATCATTTATATAAAACATGATTAGGATGAAAAAGAAAATGTTATTAAATGCTAACTGTGTAGACTTATATTCAGAGACAGAGTGCACATAATACATTTCCTAAAGCTCTGTTGAGGCCCACACTCTGGTAAAGACTTTATACACTGCAAAAATAGATCCATATTGAGAGATGTGACGATGCAGCGTCTGGTTTTGGTTTTGTGCCTGTTATTCCGTCATGGTCAGTGTTCCTGATGTTTTGCAGACATGCCCGTCGGGAGCCAGGAGCTGATTTCTCTGCTGAGACGCTTCATCACATACATGCAGTTCAAGGTGAGACACTACAAAGCATTATGTTTGGACACACTCAGCAAAAGGGCTTTTACATGTTTTGGTAGTTTTCTCTCATCATTTACAGTTGTTTTAGAGCGATTCATGCAGGTCTGAAAGGGCTGTAGGCACCGCTCTGTGTTTTTCATTTCAATTCAACTTCTTCTTGTGCAGCCCTAAATCCCAACAGTAGTTTTCTCTGGGGACTTTACAAAACCTGATCACCAACGCAGATCAGAGAATCAAATGTTGATAAAGTCCATAAAAGTGGTTGAATGTGGAGTGTCCTGGATCATCACTGTCCTTAGACCCTCCTGCATCTGCCAGAAACAACTCTGTGGTAGAAATGTGAAAAACCCTGGGAAGTCCACAGGGAGGGATCTGCCCCCACAGACGGGCTGTAGATCCAGGACTGAGGCTGTAGAACGAGGACTCAGGCTGTAGACCCAGGACTGAGGCTGTAGATCCAGGACTCAGGCTGTAGAACGAGGACTCAGGCTGTAGACCCAGGACTGAGGCTGTAGATCCAGGACTCAGGCTGTAGAACGAGGACTCAGGCTGTAGACCCAGGACTGAGGCTGTAGACCCAGGACTGAGGCTGTAGACCCAGGACTGAGGCTGTAGACCCAGGACTGAGGCTGTAGACCCAGGACTGAGGCTGTAGACCCAGGACTGAGGCTGTAGATCCAGGACTGAGGCTGTAGACCCAGGACTGAGGCTGTAGATCCAGGACTGAGGTTGTAGATCCAGGACTGAGACTGTAGACCCAGGACTCAGGCTGTAGATCCAGGACTCCGGCTGTAGATCCAGGACTGAGGCTGTAGACCCAGGACTGAGCCTGTAGATCCAGTACTGAGACTGTAGATCCAGGACTGAGACTGTAGACCCAGGACTGAGGCTGTAGATCCAGGACTCAGGCTGTAGAACGAGGACTCAGGCTGTAGACCCAGGACTGAGGCTGTAGACCCAGGACTGAGGCTGTAGACCCAGGACTGAGGCTGTAGACCCAGGACTGAGGCTGTAGATCCAGGACTGAGGTTGTAGATCCAGGACTGAGACTGTAGACCCAGGACTCAGGCTGTAGATCCAGGACTCCGGCTGTAGACCCAGGACTGAGACTGTAGATCCAGTACTGAGACTGTAGATCCAGGACTGAGACTGTAGACCCAGGACTGAGGCTGTAGATCCAGGACTCAGGCTGTAGAACGAGGACTCAGGCTGTAGATCCAGGACTGAGGCTGTAGAACGAGGACTCAGGCTGTAGACCCAGGACTGAGGCTGTAGACCCAGGACTGAGGCTGTAGACCCAGGACTGAGGCTGTAGATCCAGGACTGAGGTTGTAGATCCAGGACTGAGACTGTAGACCCAGGACTCAGGCTGTAGATCCAGGACTCCGGCTGTAGACCCAGGACTGAGACTGTAGATCCAGGACTGAGACTGTAGACCCAGGACTGAGACTGTAGACCCAGGACTGAGACTGTAGATCCAGTACTGAGACTGTAGACCCAGGACTGAGGCTGTAGACCCAGGACTGAGACTGTAGATCCAGGACTGAGGCTGTAGATCCAGGACTGAGGCTGTAGATCCAGGACTGAGGCTGTAGATCCAGGACTTAAATCAGCCACTTTTTCTTCACAATGACACTGGGTTAGGGTCATCTCTACGGTCATCCTGTGCACGAGGGGTTGAACCGACACATCAACTTTAGCGTTTCTCACTTCGTTCTCGTGACGTGGACTCGTACGTGAGACTGAGCGGGAGGAGAACGACTGAGGAGCTGGGCTTTCTGCAGCTGTTTGGCACATTCCAAAACAGGAAGAAGACAGACCACAGCGTCACGGCAACAGGAGCCCAGACGGGAGAGAGCAAAGGGAGAGCTCTGTATGGACGTATAGACCAGGGGTGTCCAAACTTTTTAGTAAGAGGTTCACTATGGTTCAGCAGAATGTTCCAGCGGCTGATGACTTAGGCTGAAGTCTGCTCTGATGACATGTCCATAATGAGTCACATTTAACAGAGCTGCAGTTGGCTGAATGATAAATATTTACTTTTTTATTTCATGTATTTATTTGTTCACAAACATTAGTTAAATCCACACTTTTTACATTTAGACATGTAGGTTTGTGAAGGGACTCCCATGAAGCACACCTTGTCTTACAGGTAGGGGCCCCAATAACATTCACATTTCAAAAACAGGATAAAAACAATAAAATACTACAAAACTTCTGAATCATAGACAGAATTTTGAGACACAATCTAAAACAAACATTAATGCAACTTTGTATTTTTTCCCTAGAATATACAGTATTTTGTAAGTTAGAGAAGTGCAACATGTGTCTACTGCTGGAGCTGAAGTTGGCTGGAGGACACTGTGAATCTCAATAAGAGCCGGTCTCACCTCCAGTTCAGTCTTTCTACCAGCTAAACTCATGTTAGCATGGATGCATCTAAAAACCACTCCAGGTCTGTGACAGGCTAAAAGCTCAAAACACTATACTTTGAATTATGTCTCTTTTAAAACCTTCTGAGAGCCACAAGTACATATTCTATGGATTGGGTTTGATGTGTTTTCATGTTTAGGGATTATTTTAGTAAGTAGTAGTAACTAAACTCCTCATTGTCTGCAGTTCATCTCAGGATTCCGGTACCAGGAAATTCCTCTCACATTTCTGAGTAAGTGTCAGTAATATTCTCGCACACGCAGCTCTCATTATGGACTTTAACCTCCTGATGTTTGGATGTTGACAGAGAGGATCATCACTCGCGTTGAAACAGGTACGAGCTTCATACGTCTTCAGAACCCGCGAGCTGTCAACCCATCAGCGCTTTGCTATTAACGCTTCTCTGGGTTTGATAATGACCACGGTCCTGAGCGTCCGCGCAGGAGGCGACATGTTCTGTGTCTGTGCGGAGGTTCTTTCTGCAGTAAAACTCATTCTATTAGTGCAAAGGTTCAATCGTTAAAATGATAATGCATCGGTTTGATACAGCGCACATGACATTATTCATTCGCTCCAAACACAGTGGTGATAAACTACTACTGTAGCCACAGCTGCCCTGGGGCACACTGACAGAAGCTTGTCGACCAGTATGTGCCAAGTGTTTTGCCTAAGGACACAACCGCAGTTTTGCACTTTACAGCCACAGCCTCCCCACTGTGGCACCTTGTGTTCCCAAAGGTCGCCCATCACAGTACTAACCAGGCCCTGCCCTGCTGAGCTTCATAGGTCTGTTGGGATCAGCTTTGACCGACAGGTGGTGCCACTCTAATGTGTCTTGCGTCCTAATCCTATCATTAACAGATTTCAGTTTGAGGAACAGCAGGTCATTGGCGTTGATCAACACATGATATTTTAAGTCCTAATTAGATTTCTAAAATATCTGTATCATTATAAAATTATAAGATAGTTAGTTAGTTTGATTTATTTCAAACCTGCAGAACACAATCACATATCTTTACACTAACACAGGTTTGAAAAGGTCTCACGAAATGACATTAGTAAACAGTTCTTAAGTAGTTTGTCTTCAGTTTTGATCCTCGAGTTCAGGACTGAAGGTTTTTAGTTTCAACCCGAGCAGGAGTAAAGCAGACTCCACCCTTCTCTCAAATCTTCAGGTGAAAGTGGACTGACCTGAGAGAATGTGCTGAGTCAGGTCCTCCTGCTCAGGCTGAAACTAAAAACCTGCAGCCACACCTGCCCTTTGAGGACCGGTTTGACTCCCCTGCTCTAATTCTACTGGAGAGGAGACTTCGAACGGTGGTTTTGGTCCCGGTCGAGGAACACTAGACCAGCTCTGTACTCTCCATCGGATACTCAAGGATCATGGAAGCTTGCCACAGTCACATGTGCTTTGTGGATTTGGAGAAGGCGTTTCACCGTGTTCCCCTGGTGTCGTTTGGGGGGTTCTCCGGGAGTACGGGGTCTGGGGTCCTCTGCTGAAGGCTGTCCGGTCCCTCTATGACCGGAGCCAGAGCTGTGTTCCCATTGCTGGCAGTAAGTCAGACCTGTTCCCGGTGTTGCCCTTTGTCACCGGTCCGGTTCACCGTCTTTATGGACAGAATTTCTTGGAGCAGTCAGGGTTATCTGTGTCACAGGACTAGATCTCCGCTGTCCTACAAGGAATTCTGGTTCTAGTGGGATGGCTTTTTCTCTGAGATCCAAGAAGTGATGGAGCTCTTTGTTCTCAGTTCCCGAAGTGACGAAGGTGACGCGGGTGATTGAAGGCCAGCCCTCTCTCACCAAAGTCACCCGGGTCATCGAGGGCGAACCCAGCATCACCAAGGTAACCAGGGTCATCGAGGGCGAACCCAGCATCACCAAGGTAACCAGGGTCATCGAGGGCGAACCCAGCATCACCAAAGTCACGCGGGTCATCGAAGGAGAGCCCACCCTCACCAAAGTCACCAGAGTAGTCTCAGGTAGGACTGGACTGAACCTCCGGACACCGTGATGATACGACTTTGGCTTAATCTGCTTTAATGTCTCTTCCAGGTGGTCCTCAGTCCTCCTACAGCGCCGGAACCACCAATGTTGAGCTGGAAGGTCAGAAAACGACACCTCACACAGATACTAGATGTTTTAATCCTCATCAAAATGTGTGTTTATTTCTAAAAAGTGTATTCATTTTATGTACAAAACGGCCCTAACCCTGACTTTTTGGAATAGTCAATGGTAGCCTGTAGACAATTCTGTTCAATGTATACTTAAATACACTAAATCACAACAACCACAGTTATCTTAGTATCTCAGTGGACTTCCAAAGTTGTCGATTCCCCAACAGCAGATCAGTGAATCAAACAGTTCGAAATGCAACAATACCTTTGAACATTAGATCCATTGGCCCATAATGACCAGTGGGCAGGGGGAGGGCCAGATGGAAGACATTTTCTGAGCACAAAACTCAAGAATCAATGAAAAGTTAACTTCGGGTGACACAGTTAAAAGATTATAAAGACAAACATACAGTCAATTCAACCTCCGTTTTCAGGTAGACAGTTCAGAGACTGGCTCAGTATAAAACCCGAACCTGACAACAAACTTTGGTCAAAGACAAAAAAAACATGAATGTGTTCCTTGTGCAACGTGATCCAGCGGACGGTGAGTGAGGAGCCACTGGGGAAGCAGATGGACGGATGCTTTCTGCAGACCCAAAGAAGAACTCTCCTCTGCTCTGAGACCTCTTATGTCATGAGAGAATATAGAAAAGGCTTTTGAAGAAGACACATTCTGCTTTATAGTGACTTCAAACTTCCCCAGTCACGTTCTGAGGTCTCCTGTCCTGTTTTTAATCCCTAAATTATCCCCAAAATCTGATGTATTTTTATTAGTGCAAGTGGTAATTAGAGAGTTTTGGAGATTTGATGCTAGTAAATGTTGTGCTCACCTCTACTCTTTCAGACTGAAGCGGCCATAAGTTAAACAGTTTGATTATATTTTATGCTTTTAGTTAAAGATTACAGAGACTTTTATGAACTGACTTAACATTTCAGCCCTAAATCCTTACAGCAGTTCTCTCGGAAATACAATAACAACAAACATATAGGGTCCATTGGGAGCGGGAAGACCTGTCCATAAATGCCCTGGATCATCACTGCCCTTAGAGCCTCCTGCATCTGCAAGAAACCGCTCCAAAAGAAAAATAGTAGGGAACAGAGTGAGAAACCTTGGAGAAGCGAGCGAGAGAGAGAGAGAGAGAGGGGTCCACTACCAGCAATGCACAGGCTGTAGATCCAGGTCTGTAGATCCAGGTCTGTAGATCCAGGGCTGTAGATCCAGGTCTGTAGATCCAGGGCTGTAGATCCAGGGCTGTAGATCGAGGGCTGTAGATCCAGGGCTGTAGATCCAGGTCTGTAGATCGAGGGCTGTAGATCCAGGACTGTAGATCCAGGTCTGTAGATCCAGGGCTGTAGATCCAGGGCTGTAGATCCAGGTCTGTAGATCCAGGGCTGTAGATCCAGGGCTGTAGATCCATATCTGTAGATCCAGGGCTGTAGATCCAGGGCTGTAGATCCAGGGCTGTAGAGCCATGTCTGTAGATCCAAGGCTGTAGATCCAAGTCTGTAGATCCAGGGCTGTAGATCCAGGGCTGTAGATCCAGGACTGTAGATCCAGGGCTGTAGATCCAGGGCTGTAGATCCAAGGCTGTAGATCCAGGTCTGTAGATCCAGGACTGTAGATCCATGTCTGTAGATCCAGGTCTGTAGATCCAAGTCTGTAGATCCAGGGCTGTACCGAGACTGACTTGTGTGTCTTTCTGTTGCCGCAGACCTCTCCACTCTTGAGGGGACAATGGACGCTGACCGACTCGCCAAAAGTGTCCAAGGTGAGTCCAGAGATGTGTAGAGTACAGTTGTTTTACCACCCCCTTGTTTATCCTTCATGATGTGAACATGTGTTTGCCTCGTAGCTGGTGGTTCACGGAGAACTCCTGCGAGAAAAGGTATAGGTCGAACTCCTGCAGCCGCTAAAGCTCCTGCTCAGCCAATCCAAAGCGTTTGAGGCTTGGCTGGTTTGTAATGCACAGCTTGTTGTTTTGCTGCTGTCTTTGCTATTGCATCTCAAAGCTACGCTACTCCATAATGCTACAGCTGCTGCTCCCTGTGTGCAGTTAGCCTGGCAAACAAACAGCATTCATCCATCTGCTGCGTGCTCGTTTGGGTTTTAGCAGCTTCTGAGTCCAATTATTGTGAGGATGTCGACATGTGCCGTTCAGTTTTGCATTCCAGTGGAGAAAAGCAAAACTGATGTACTTAATGGACTTTTCCCACTAACATGTGATGAAATCTGACTCTAGCAGATCACAGACTATTGGAATCGTTGGTTTCACAGTCTCAGGTTTCAGTTTATTTGGACATGGCCAGTGCAAAATATAATGTCATTAATTCAAGCAAACATTTGAGAGTGTATAATAGGATTACAGTACACGTTTCTCCCTGGGTTGGATATTAGAGCCTGCATTATGCCTTGGTAGATTTGGAGAAACGTCTAATTTCTACCGAACAATTATCAGAGCCAGCTTTTGGAACAGTTGTGAGAAGTCCCCGTGATTATCCATGCATGTGGGAACTGGCGTTTGACATGAAGAAGAGCAGATCAGCTCTGGTTCATCAGTCAGACAGTGGAGGTTGACACACGGTGCATATTTGTGAGCACTTTGGGCCCACATCAGAAGCTACAAATATGATCAGCAGATGCTCTTTTCCTGAACCCAGAGCTCATGTTTCCATATTTCCATAGTCCATAGACCGGCTGACCCTTTCCCTGTGGCTGCTTTATCCCAGGAAAGGACTGTTTGGACTTCACAGAGACCTACAGACTCTCACAGAGACCTACAGACTCTCACAGAGACCTACAGACTCTCACAGAGACCTACAGACTCTCACAGACCTACAGACTCTCACAGAGACCTACAGACTCTCACAGACCTACAGACTCTCTCAGACCTACAGACTCTCACAGAGACCTACAGACTCTCACAGAGACCTACAGACTCAGACCTACAGACTCTCTCAGACCTACAGACTCTCACAGAGACCTACAGACTCTCACAGAGATCTACAGACTCTCACAGAGACCTACAGACTCTCACAGAGACCTACAGACTCTCACAGAGACCTACAGACTCTCACAGAGACCTACAGACTCAGACCTACAGACTCTCACAGACCTACAGACTCTCTCAGACCTACAGACTCTCACAGAGACCTACAGACTCTCACAGAGACCTACAGACTCTCACAGACCTACAGACTCTCACAGAGACCTACAGACTCAGACCTACAGACTCTCACAGACCTACAGACTCTCTCAGACCTGCAGACTCTCACAGAGACCTACAGACTCAGACCTACAGACTCTCTCAGACCTACAGACTCTCACAGAGACCTACAGACTCTCACAGAGATCTACAGACTCTCACAGAGACCTACAGACTCTCACAGAGACCTACAGACTCTCACAGAGACCTACAGACTCAGACCTACAGACTCTCTCAGAGACCTACAGACTCTCACACAGAGACCTACAGACTCTCACAGAGACCTACAGACTCAGACCTACAGACTCTCTCAGACCTACAGACTCTCACAGAGACCTACAGACTCTCACAGACCTACAGACTCTCACAGAGACCTACAGACTCTCACAGAGACCTACAGACTCTCACAGAGACCTACAGACTCTCACAGAGACCTACAGACTCTCACAGAGACCTACAGACTCTCACAGAGACCTACAGACTCTCACAGACCTACAGACTCTCACAGAGACCTACAGACTCTCACAGACCTACAGACTCTCACAGAGACCTACAGACTCTCTCAGACCTACAGACTCTCACAGAGACCTACAGACTCTCACAGACCTACAGACTCTCACAGAGACCTACAGACTCTCACAGAGACCTACAGACTCTCACAGAGACCTACAGACTCTCACAGACCTACAGACTCTCACAGAGACCTACAGACTCTCACAGACCTACAGACTCTCACAGAGACCTACAGACTCTCACAGACCTACAGACTCTCACAGAGACCTACAGACTCTCACAGAGACCTACAGACTCTCACAGACCTACAGACTCTCACAGAGACCTACAGACTCTCTCAGAGACCTACAGACTCTCACAGACCTACAGACTCTCACAGAGACCTACAGACTCTCACAGAGACCTACAGACTCTCTCAGAGACCTACAGACTCTCACAGACCTACAGACTCTCACAGACCTACAGACTCTCACAGACCTACAGACTCTCACAGACCTACAGACTCTCTCAGACCTACAGACTCTCACAGACCTACAGACTCTCACAGAGACCTACAGACTCTCACAGACCTACAGACTCTCACAGAGACCTACAGACTCTCACAGACCTACAGACTCTCACAGAGACCTACAGACTCTCACAGACCTACAGACTCAGACCTACAGACTCTCACAGAGACCTACAGACTCTCACAGAGACCTACAGACTCTCTCAGAGACCTACAGACTCTCACAGACCTACAGACTCTCACAGAGACCTACAGACTCTCACAGAGACCTACAGACTCTCTCAGAGACCTACAGACTCTCACAGACCTACAGACTCTCACAGACCTACAGACTCTCACAGACCTACAGACTCTCACAGAGACCTACAGACTCTCTCAGAGACAGTCCTGTCCGGACAGAAACCTTTCATTAGATCATCAGGTATATTGTAGCGTACCATGAGATCCCGACCATGAGCGGTGGTCTGGTAGGACTGAACAATGCAGGAAAAGTCTCTGGTTGGACCAGTGTTCTCAGACGGAGGTTTGGACTGAGAGAAGACGCAGGACCTTTGGTTCATGAGCCATGAGCTTTGATTATAAGGACCGGGCTTTCAGAGCGTCAGCACAGAGTTAACACACATGTGTCCAGCACAGAGTTAACACACATGGGTCCAGCACAGAGTTAACACACATGTGTCCAGCACAGAGTTAACACACATGGGTCCAGCACAGAGTTAACACACATGGGTCCAGCAGAGTTAACACACATGGGTCCAGCACAGAGTTAACACACATGGGTCCAGCACAGAGTTAACACACATGTGTCCAGCACAGAGTTAACACACATGTGTCCAGCACAGAGTTAACACACATGGGTCCAGCACAGAGTTAACACACATGTGTCCAGCACAGAGTTAACACACATGTGTCCAGCACAGAGTTAACACACATGGGTCCAGCACAGAGTTAACACACATGTGTCCAGCACAGAGTTAACACACATGTGTCCAGCACAGAGTTAACACACATGGGTCCAGCAGAGTTAACACACATGGGTCCAGCACAGAGTTAACACACATGGGTCCAGCACAGAGTTAACACACATGTGTCCAGCACAGAGTTAACACACATGTGTCCAGCACAGAGTTAACACACATGGGTCCAGCACAGAGTTAACACACATGTGTCCAGCACAGAGTTAACACACATGGGTCCAGCACAGAGTTAACACACATGGGTCCAGCACAGAGTTAACACACATGTGTCCAGCACAGAGTTAACACACATGGGTCCAGCACAGAGTTAACACACATGTGTCCAGCACAGAGTTAACACACATGGGTCCAGCAGAGTTAACACACATGTGTCCAGCACAGAGTTAACACACATGGGTCCAGCACAGAGTTAACACACATGGGTCCAGCACAGAGTTAACACACATGGGTCCAGCAGAGTTAACACACATGGGTCCAGCACAGAGTTAACACACATGGGTCCAGCACAGAGTTAACACACATGGGTCCAGCACAGCCGCCACAACAGCCCTTTAAGGCCCGGTCTGACACCGCTGCAGCAGGGCGTCTGTCAGGAGCAGTGCTAAACACTGCAATGGTCCTGACAAGTCTCCATCATGGGCTCAAGTTTTGGTCCTGGTTCTGTCCCAGATGTGCCCGGGTCAGAACTAAAGTGCAAACACAAAGCACAGATCCATTGGTCCTTACGGTTCAGAGCTTTTCTCCTCAGATCCAGATCTTGCTTTGCGCATGGCACGATGGTGTGCAACCTTTATTCTGCATTTGATAGTTTTTGGTTTCCTCCAAAATCACCTTTTTACTCCAAGAAAAGGTTGTTTATGTGAGTCCTGTCGTTCTAATGTGGGGCTCAGGTTTCTGTTCAAAGAAGTAGTTTAGATTAAATGACTACGTATAGAAGTGAGTCTGCGATAAAGTCTGCTTTTCCTGTAAATACTAGAGTCATGGTCTCGTTCTGAAATGCAGTAGATTGTGGGAAAGTTATTTTAGAATAAAAAACATTGACAACAGAGAACCTGTATAAGCTGTGGGAGACACATTCTTTTTACTGTGAATGTGTAATTATTTAAAACCAGATCATCACATTTAGTATAATATTGAAGAAGAAACCAGTACATACACACTGTCACTGTTAAAGTGTAGTGAGATGCAGCAGGAGGTCACTGAGCCACTGTAGGTGCTTTAGAAATGTAAACATCAGGACAAAATAATCATTTTTAAAGCATGAATAAAATGTTGAACACAGTAGACGTTTGTGATTCACTTTTTGACAGGACTGTACAGTATTTGTATGTAATCAACCAAGCACTAATGGACACTCCTCCAGTTTGAAATAATGAATATGTTTTTATAGTGTCAGCTCCACAGCGCTCCATGAAACCTTTAGATAAAAATGACTTAATCTTTAGCATTTGTCATTCCAGAGGAGTACAGTACAGGTTCTGATCGAGGGCAAGGACCGGTTTAAGTAGATTTCACCTGGACATGTAGATTTTATTCTGGAAATCCAATAAGTTTCGTCCCAACTGTGGCCTTCATAAGATAAGATAAACTTTATTGATCTCAATGTAGAACAATATCAGGGCCTTCATCAGGGCATTCAGCTGATATTTTAATTGCGGTAAAATCCCAGATGCCAGACTCAGATCTCGCACCGTCCTCCGAGACCCCGACTCCGGCTCCGCTCCCAGAATGTGTTATAACTGAACTAAAATATATGTTCTGCTTTCTCCTCCTCCCAGCTGGCAGACAACGAGTCAGAAACTAACCACCTCCACATGAGACGCTCGGAAAACAACCAACGGACCGAAACGGAGAGAATCGACAATGGTGCTGTGGACGTTTGTTGCCTCTCGATGGAGACTGTCTCAGCTTGTCCAAAAAGCAATAAAACAAAAAAATCTCCTGCGAGCTGTTAACGCGGCCGTAAAAAAGCAGCATTTGTGAGACGGTAAACAACGAATCTGGCTGCGTCTCGAAAAGATTGTTGTGAAATTTGTGTTATGAAAAAAGGAGATGGAAAGTGCAATGAGGGCAGAGACGTCGGGTTTTTTATGTTTTGGAATTTTGTATCCTGGAGCCGGTTTTGTCAGTTTAATATAACCAATAAAGCCAATTTTCTGATGTGGGTTTGTACATGCTTTAACGATGCTTCTGGAGGATTCCGTGGGTAAAGTCGGGGAGAGAGAGACCACCTTCGTGAATGTTTTAAAAAGGGAATTGCCAAATAAAAAGGTTGGAAATCTGTCTGTGAGTCTCAATGCGTTCTCTGTGTTTGTGTGTAGCCCTAAATCACAACAGCAGTCGTCTCGGAGCGAATCAACGTTGTGTATTCATCAAAAACAGATCAGAGAATCAAACAGCTCGAACACAAGAAATGAAATGGTGCTTAAAGGTCCCATATCGCGTTCTCCTTCTTGTTTCACAGCCCATCCAAAGCACAGAAGTGTAATTTTGCGCAGAGTCTTGCACAGTTTTTCCAATGTGGTTTTACTGCAAACGGTAAATAAATTCTTCTTCTCAAAACTTGTGAAATTATAGTCATTTCTCGCTCCTCTGCCTGTGAACGCGCCTGCTAACACGGCGACCTAGCATCACGCTAAACTCTGTAAACACACGTAGCATGGAAGCTAACAGTTCAGTTTTTACTGTAACAGTCATTTCAGACCTGAGAATACACTTTTCCCAACTCTAATAACCCGTCACATCGAGCCCTAAGTCCTCGATCCAGAATCAGACCTCAATTATTTAGAAGTTTACAACAAGTTAACACTTTACAGCTCCTCGTTAGCGTCTTTTTATTGCGGAATTAAAACCGTATTTCCAGATCTGCAAAGGTGAACAGTCTATATAGAAGTGTTGCAGATTGACAGATCGGTCACAGATAAATAAATACACCCATAGACTGTAAATAGATGGACAATGCTAACACTCAGGCGCATTGAAGCCAAATAGGGAAGTGCTCATGGATGAAGTTTTATTCCAGTCCTGTTTCGGAGTAAACAAGGTGTCTTTAGTAAAGTGTTGCCACTGATTTTCTCAGTTTTTTAGACTTTTGTGAATGTGTTTGGGTTCACAGTGAAGTTGACTGCTCTGGGAGTTACTGCATCAGGACTACACAAAGACACGCACATACTCAAGCAACGACACACACATAATATAAGAAACTTTATTGACATTTACAATACACACTCAGACACACACACACACAGACACTCACTCAGACACGCGCACAGACACGCATACACACACTCACTCAATCAGACACACACACTCAGATACACACACAGGCGCACACATTTACTCAGACACATGCACATACTCTCATACACACACACACACATACACGTTTTTGTTACCTGGTGGGTCCCTTTGACAGGGCCGTTCAGAATGGGACCCATAGACATAATCTTTTTTTACTGGGACTACTTTAAGTAATACAAAACAGTCAATAGAAACCAAACAACTATTTTAAAGGAATTTTATTTTTGATTTTTTTTTGAATTGCAGTGATTCTATTTTTGACATAGAATTTAATGCCACTCCATGTCCGATGTCTAAGGTCATCTGGTGAGGCATTAATGCAGGCCAGGCAGTGAGACTTCCCAGGGACCTTTCCAGTCTGTATGAAAGGTGTCATGGTCTTCTCCACAGCCTTCACCTCAGATGCAGACCATGGCTTTCTTACACGTTCTAGGGAGAGAAATAAAAATATATTAGCAATATACACTCCCAGGGTTAGGACCAAGCAGCCTGGCTGTAATCCCCCACCTGGTACACTTACCAGAAGGGGCACTGCCACTACCATGGGGTGCATCTGGATGAATGGTTGAAGGTTCTCAGCTTGAAGTTTCTTTTAGCCCGTCCGTTTGTGAGAGGATCTCTACTGCTCTCCCTGTCGCACAGAAAATAAAAATACAAGTGGCCTTTAGGGGAAAAAAATCATACATATTTTAATAATATCAAGAATTACCTTCAGGCTCAATTTGTATCTGGTCGAGGCTCTTTCCTTTGAATTCCGTCACTCTTCCCTGCTCCATGGCCATCAACACTTTGCTGATTTTGGCCAGCTCCAGTGTCCCCTCTGGTAGTCTGTAATATTGCCTGTGGATGCGAATGTCATGGCCGAGGAAGTTGGCAAGTATGTCCATCTCATTCTCTTTCATATTGAGAACTGTAGACATAGTAGCTATGTGCTTTCTAAGTTTGGTTGAGGATAGCATCTCTGGATGCACCGCACCACATTCTTTGGCTACCTGAAATGTGGTAGCCAAAGAATGTGGCAATGCCCCACAGTCTATACAGTGCAAAAACTCACTGGATTTAACTGGGGAATTTGGCTGTTTAGCTGGGACTAAAGTTCCAATGCCGGCCTTTAAAACCTCAACATTGTGCTCACGGTTTCCACTATTCCTGATCAAATCAAACTGAAGTTTACGTGCTCTTGAAGAAATTTTTTTTTGATTTTTCTTTTTCCATACTTTTTTACAGGTTTCTTCTTGACAGTTAAATCGTCAGAATCTGAGTCGACTTCATCAATTAGGGACTCTTGACTAAGCTGCACAAACAACAAATAATTTGTAATCATTCTATATAACAATTTGAAGTCATGACTTGTAGTCAGCACTTACCAGTGGTTTGTAAGCGTGCGCTTCAGTGTGCTGCTCTGTGATTGGCTGCAGCCTAATGAACCACACACCTGCACCTTTTCTAGCCTGACACCTGATTTCCTCTGTTGTGCTGCTCCATGATTGGCTCCAGCCTCTGTTGTGCTGCTCCATGATTGGCTCCAGCCTGCTGGACTGAAATTGCCCCAGTGTGCCCCTCCTTGATATCCCGCAACCCACCACCAGGGTTCCGACCAGTGAGGGAGGGTCCCAGACCATGGATCTATTATAATAACTGGATAGGGTATTACTAGCTTGTAGCTGAAGAACTCATGTGTTCAGGGGATTGTCGCGGTACTGCAGACTGAACCAGACTGAACCAGACTAAATTCACGTGGGCTACCCAGAAATTTTCCCCATAGAACTCAATGCATATTAAAACAGCTCAACCTCAGCTGACAGAGAACCTGACAGAGAACCTGACAGAGAACCTACAGCTTTAATAAAGATCGGATTTTGTGGGGACGTTAGTGTCCCTTGTCGTCCTGAACTTTTTTTCTTCTTAAATCCTTCGGTTTTGTTTAAATCCACACTTTAGTGCCACAAACTCTGCTCGTCTGGCTCTCGCTCTAACTCCTGCTCTGATGAACTGCTCTGATTGGTCAGATCGAGACCCTCTGTGCACGTGCGTGAGACCCGGTGTGAGACCCACACGCGTGTTTGGCGCAATGCATTATGGGAGATCATCCACTGCACAGAACCGGGAGGACCAGACGATGCCCAAATACAGGCGAGTTTCCCAGAGATCTTTGAGAGTTTCAGGCAACTTCCGCTAATCTTTCAGCCCCCATGCCGTCACAAAGCGCCACTGAGCACAACCATTCATTTGAATAGGGCGCCATCTTGGATCGCCGGGGCTTGGTCCCAGCTCAAAAGTGGCCAAAATGACGTGCGCTGACATGCTGCAATACCACCCCGGGCCTGTGGGGGTGGACCCAGAAGAAGAATTAGCCAATGCTAACATATAGCGTTAGCAGACCTCTCAAAAACGTCTTTATAGGATGGACCAAAGTTGTCTCTTGGCCCAAAGCTCCGTTCCACATGTGTGTCAATGCTGAGTGTTTTGGTCCACTCTAGTTTACTTGCTGTGAAGTAAACTCTCTCTCTCTCTCTCTCTTTCTCTACTGGTGCTGGTTGTTCCCAACACAAGAATAACAGCAGTAACGTTTCCACCACGGTCCGGTTCTTAAATCTGTAGACTCTCCTGAGACCGTTCTGTAGACTCTCCTGAGACCGGTCCGTAGACTCTCGGTCTGTAGACTCTCCTGAGACCGGTCCGTAGACTCTCGGTCTGTAGACTCTCCTGAGACCGGTCCGTAGACTCTCGGTCTGTAGACTCTCCTGAGACCGGTCCGTAGACTCTCGGTCTCAGGAGAGTCTACAGACCAGTCTCAGTAGAGTCTACAGACCGGTCTCAGGAGAGTCTACAGACCTGTCTCAAGAAAGTCTACAGAGCGGTCTCGAGAGTCTACAGAGCGGGCTCAGGAGAGTCTACAGACCGGTCTCAGGAGAGTCTACAGAGCGGTCTCAGGAGAGTCTACAGAGCGGTCTCAGGAGAGTCTACAGAGCGGGCTCAGGAGAGTCTACAGAGCGGTCTCAGGAGAGTCTACAGAGCAGTCTCAGGGGAGTCTACAGACCGGTCTCAGGAGAGTCTACAGAGCGGTCTCAGGAGAGTCTACAGACCGGTCTCAGGAGAGTCTACAGACCGGTCTCAGGAGAGTCTACAGACCGGTCTCAGGAGAGTCTACAGACCGGTCTCAGGAGAGTCTACAGACCGGTCTCAGGAGAATCTATGGACCGGTCTCAGGAGAGTCTACGGACCGGTCTCAGGAGAGTCTACAGAGCGGTCTCAGGAGAGTCTACAGAGCAGTCTCAGGGGAGTCTACAGACCGGTCTCAGGAGAGTCTACAGAGCGGTCTCAGGAGAGTCTACAGACCGGTCTCAGGAGAGTCTACAGACCTGTCTCAAGAGAGTCTACGGACCGGTCTCAGGAGAGTCTATGGACCGGTCTCAGGAGAGTCTACAGACCGGTCTCAGGAGAGTCTACAGAGCGGTCTCAGGAGAGTCTACAGAGCAGTCTCAGGGGAGTCTACAGACCGGTCTCAGGAGAGTCTACGGACCGGTCTCAGGAGAGTCTACAGAGCGGTCTCAGGAGAGTCTACAGAGCAGTCTCAGGGGAGTCTACAGACCGGTCTCAGGAGAGTCTACAGAGCGGTCTCAGGAGAGTCTACAGAGCGGTCTCAGGAGAGTCTACAGACCAGTCTCAGGAGAGTCTACAGAGCGGTCTCAGGAGAGTCTACAGAGCGGTCTCAGGAGAGTCTACGGACCGGTCTCAGGAGAGTCTATGGACCGGTCTCAGGAGAGTCTACAGACCTGTCTCAAGAGAGTCTACAGAGCGGTCTCAGGAGAGTCTACAGAGCGGTCTCAGGAGAGTCTACAGACCGGTCTCAGGGTAGTCTACAGAGCGGTCTCAGGAGAGTCTACAGAGCGGTCTCAGGAGAGTCTACAGAGCGGTCTCAGGAGAGTCTACAGACCGGTCTCAGGAGAGTCTACAGACCGGTCTCAGGAGAGTCTACAGACCGGTCTCAGGAGAGTCTACAGACCGGTCTCAGGAGAGTCTACAGACCGGTCTCAGGAGAATCTATGGACCGGTCTCAGGAGAGTCTACGGACCGGTCTCAGGAGAGTCTACAGAGCGGTCTCAGGAGAGTCTACAGACCGGTCTCAGGAGAGTCTACAGAGCGGTCTCAGGAGAGTCTACAGAGCGGTCTCAGGAGAGTCTACAGAGCGGTCTCAGGAGAGTCTACAGAGCGGTCTCAGGGGAGTCTACAGACCAGTCTCAGGAGAGTCTACAGAGCGGTCTCAAGAGAGTCTACAGAGCGGTCTCAGGAGAGTCTACAGACCGGTCTCAGGAGAGTCTACAGAGCGGTCTCAGGAGAGTCTATGGACCGGTCTCAGGAGAGTCTACAGAGCGGTCTCAGGAGAGTCTACAGAGCGGTCTCAGGAGAGTCTACAGAGCGGTCTCAGGAGAGTCTACAGAGCGGTCTCAGGGTAGTCTACAGAGCGGTCTCAGGAGAGTCTACAGAGCGGTCTCAGGGTAGTCTACAGAGCGGTGTCAGGAGAGTCTACAGAGCGGTCTCAGGAGAGTCTACAGACCTGTCTCAGGAGAGTCTACAGAGCGGTCTCAGGAGAGTCTACAGAGCGGTCTCAGGAGAGTCTACAGAGCGGTCTCAGGAGAGTCTACAGAGCGGTCTCAGGAGAGTCTACAGACCGGTCTCAGGAGAGTCTACAGAGCGGTCTCAGGAGAGTCTACAGACCGGTCTCAGGAGAGTCTACAGAGCGGTCTCAGGAGAGTCTACAGACCGGTCTCAGGGTAGTCTACAGAGCGGTCTCAGGAGAGTCTACAGAGCGGTCTCAGGAGAGTCTACAGACCGGTCTCAGGAGAGTCTACAGACCGGTCTCAGGAGAGTCTACAGACCGGTCTCAGGAGAGTCTACAGACCGGTCTCAGGAGAGTCTACAGACCAGTCTCAGGAGAGTCTACAGAGCGGTCTCAGGAGAGTCTACAGAGCGGTCTCAGGAGAGTCTACGGACCGGTCTCAGGAGAGTCTATGGACCGGTCTCAGGAGAGTCTACAGACCTGTCTCAAGAGAGTCTACAGAGCGGTCTCAGGAGAGTCTACAGACCGGTCTCAGGAGAGTCTACGGACCGGTCTCAGGAGAATCTATGGACCGGTCTCAGGAGAGTCTACAGAGCGGTCTCAAGAGAGTCTACAGAGCGGTCTCAGGAGAGTCTACAGAGCGGTCTCAGGAGAGTCTATGGACCGGTCTCAGGAGAGTCTACAGAGCGGTCTCAGGAGAGTCTACAGAGCGGTCTCAGGAGAGTCTACAGAGCGGTCTCAGGGGAGTCTACAGACCGGTCTCAGGAGAGTCTACAGACCGGTCTCAGGAGAGTCTACAGACCGGTCTCAGGAGAGTCTACAGAGCGGTCTCAGGAGAGTCTATGGACCGGTCTCAGGAGAGTCTACAGAGCGGTCTCAGGAGAGTCTACAGAGCGGTCTCAGGAGAGTCTACAGAGCGGTCTCAGGAGAGTCTACAGACCGGTCTCAGGAGAGTCTACAGAGCGGTCTCAGGGGAGTCTACAGACCAGTCTCAGGAGAGTCTACAGAGCGGTCTCAAGAGAGTCTACAGAGCGGTCTCAGGAGAGTCTACAGACCTGTCTCAAGAGAGTCTACAGAGCGGTCTCAGGAGAGTCTACAGAGCGGTCTCAGGAGAGTCTACAGAGCGGTCTCAGGAGAGTCTACAGACCGGTCTCAGGGTAGTCTACAGAGCGGTCTCAGGAGAGTCTACAGAGCGGTCTCAGGAGAGTCTACAGAGCGGTCTCAGGAGAGTCTACAGAGCGGTCTCAGGAGAGTCTACAGACCGGTCTCAGGAGAGTCTACAGACCGGTCTCAGGAGAGTCTACAGACCGGTCTCAGGAGAGTCTACAGACCGGTCTCAGGAGAATCTATGGACCGGTCTCAGGAGAGTCTACGGACCGGTCTCAGGAGAGTCTACAGAGCGGTCTCAGGAGAGTCTACAGACCGGTCTCAGGAGAGTCTACAGAGCGGTCTCAGGAGAGTCTACAGAGCGGTCTCAAGAGAGTCTACAGAGCGGTCTCAGGAGAGTCTACAGACCGGTCTCAGGAGAGTCTACAGAGCGGTCACAGGAGAGTCTACAGAGCGGTCTCAGGAGAGTCTACAGAGCGGTCTCAGGAGAGTCTACAGAGCGGTCTCAGGAGAGTCTACAGAGCGGTCTCAGGAGAGTCTACAGAGCGGTCTCAGGAGAGTCTACGGACCGGTCTCAGGAGAGTCTATGGACCGGTCTCAGGAGAGTCTACAGAGCGGTCTCAGGAGAGTCTACGGACCGGTCTCAGGAGAGTCTACAGAGCGGTCTCAGGAGAGTCTACAGAGCGGTCTCAGGAGAGTCTACAGACCGGTCTCAGGGTAGTCTACAGAGCGGTCTCAGGAGAGTCTACAGAGCGGTCTCAGGAGAGTCTACAGACCGGTCTCAGGAGAGTCTACAGACCGGTCTCAGGAGAGTCTACAGACCGGTCTCAGGAGAGTCTACAGACCGGTCTCAGGAGAGTCTACAGAGCGGTCTCAGGAGAGTCTACAGACCGGTCTCAGGAGAATCTATGGACCGGTCTCAGGAGAGTCTACGGACCGGTCTCAGGAGAGTCTACAGAGCGGTCTCAGGAGAGTCTACAGACCGGTCTCAGGAGAGTCTACAGAGCGGTCTCAGGGGAGTCTACAGACCAGTCTCAGGAGAGTCTACAGAGCGGTCTCAAGAGAGTCTACAGAGCGGTCTCAGGAGAGTCTACAGACCGGTCTCAGGAGAGTCTACAGAGCGGTCTCAGGAGAGTCTATGGACCGGTCTCAGGAGAGTCTACAGAGCGGTCTCAGGAGAGTCTACAGAGCGGTCTCAGGAGAGTCTACAGAGCGGTCTCAGGGTAGTCTACAGAGCGGTCTCAGGAGAGTCTACAGAGCGGTCTCAGGGTAGTCTACAGAGCGGTCTCAGGAGAGTCTACAGACCGGTCTCAGGAGAGTCTACAGAGCGGTCTCAGGAGAGTCTACAGAGCGGTCTCAGGAGAGTCTACAGAGCGGTCTCAGGAGAGTCTACAGAGCGGTCTCAGGAGAGTCTACGGACCAGTCTCAGGAGAGTCTACAGAGCGGTCTCAGGAGAGTCTACAGAGCGGTCTCAGGAGAGTCTACAGAGCGGTCTCAGGAGAGTCTACAGAGCGGTCTCAGGAGAGTCTACGGACCGGTCTCAGGAGAGTCTATGGACCGGTCTCAGGAGAGTCTACAGACCTGTCTCAAGAGAGTCTACAGAGCGGTCTCAGGAGAGTCTACAGAGCGGTCTCAGGAGAGTCTACAGAGCGGTCTCAGGAGAGTCTACAGAGCGGTCTCAGGAGAGTCTACAGACCGGTCTCAGGAGAGTCTACAGACCGGTCTCAGGAGAGTCTACAGAGCGGTCTCAGGAGAGTCTACAGACCGGTCTCAGGAGAGTCTACAGAGCGGTCTCAGGAGAGTCTATGGACCGGTCTCAGGAGAGTCTACAGAGCGGTCTCAGGAGAGTCTACAGAGCGGTCTCAGGAGAGTCTACGGACCGGTCTCAGGAGAGTCTATGGACCGGTCTCAGGAGAGTCTACAGACCTGTCTCAAGAGAGTCTACAGAGCGGTCTCAGGAGAGTCTACAGACCGGTCTCAGGAGAGTCTACGGACCGGTCTCAGGAGAATCTATGGACCGGTCTCAGGAGAGTCTACAGAGCGGTCTCAAGAGAGTCTACAGACCGGTCTCAGGAGAGTCTACAGAGCGGTCTCAAGAGAGTCTACAGAGCGGTCTCAGGAGAGACTACAGAGCGGTCTCAGGAGAGTCTACAGACCGGTCTCAGGAGAGTCTACAGACCGGTCTCAGGAGAGTCTACAGAGCGGTCTCAGGAGAGTCTACAGAGCGGTCTCAGGGTAGTCTACAGAGCGGTCTCAGGAGAGTCTACAGAGCGGTCTCAGGAGAGTCTACAGAGCGGTCTCAGGAGAGTCTACAGACCGGTCTCAGGAGAGTCTACAGAGCGGTCTCAGGAGAGTCTACAGACCGGTCTCAGGGTAGTCTACAGAGCGGTCTCAGGAGAGTCTACAGAGCGGTCTCAGGAGAGTCTACAGACCGGTCTCAGGAGAGTCTACAGACCGGTCTCAGGAGAGTCTACAGACCGGTCTCAGGAGAGTCTACAGACCGGTCTCAGGAGAGTCTACAGACCAGTCTCAGGAGAGTCTACAGAGCGGTCTCAGGAGAGTCTACAGAGCGGTCTCAGGAGAGTCTACGGACCGGTCTCAGGAGAGTCTATGGACCGGTCTCAGGAGAGTCTACAGACCTGTCTCAAGAGAGTCTACAGAGCGGTCTCAGGAGAGTCTACAGACCGGTCTCAGGAGAGTCTACGGACCGGTCTCAGGAGAATCTATGGACCGGTCTCAGGAGAGTCTACAGAGCGGTCTCAAGAGAGTCTACAGAGCGGTCTCAGGAGAGTCTACAGAGCGGTCTCAGGAGAGTCTATGGACCGGTCTCAGGAGAGTCTATGGACCGGTCTCAGGAGAGACTACAGAGCGGTCTCAGGAGAGTCTACAGAGCGGTCTCAGGAGAGTCTACAGAGCGGTCTCAGGGGAGTCTACAGACCGGTCTCAGGAGAGTCTACAGACCGGTCTCAGGAGAGTCTACAGACCGGTCTCAGGAGAGTCTACAGAGCGGTCTCAGGAGAGTCTACAGAGCGGTCTCAGGAGAGTCTACAGAGCGGTCTCAGGGGAGTCTACAGAGCGGTCTCAGGAGAGTCTACAGAGCGGTCTCAGGAGAGTCTACAGACCGGTCTCAGGAGAGTCTACAGAGCGGTCTCAGGGTAGTCTACAGAGCGGTCTCAGGAGAGTCTACAGAGCGGTCTCAGGAGAGTCTACAGACCGGTCTCAGGAGAGTCTACAGACCGGTCTCAGGAGAGTCTACAGAGCGGTCTCAGGAGAGTCTACAGACCGGTCTCAGGAGAGTCTACAGAGCGGTCTCAGGGGAGTCTACAGACCGGTCTCAGGAGAGTCTACAGACCGGTCTCAGGAGAGTCTACAGGTCTGTAGACTCTCCTGAGACCGGTCTGTAGACTCTCCTGAGACCAGTCTGTGCTCAGATTTATAGAACTGTTACTGTGCCAAGGAAAAGCCATGAAAATCAAAGCCTGTGGAGAGCGTCCATTGTTCAGGCCTCGGTAAAGACGCTGTTACGGCTCGGACTGTTTCAGACGCATCAAATCTGCTGAACTCAAGAAAAAAAGGTTCTCACTTTTTCAATGTAGTTTTGTTGCAGTGTGTTTAAAAAGCATGAGATAAAAACATTGTCATTATGATCTGCTGGGACTGGCTCTGTACAGTTGTTTGCATGTCCTGTGTTTGTTGTTGTATGGACCAATTCTATCTGAAATAAACATTAGTAATAATAAATAATAATAATTACCACTTTATTCTGGTGTCAGGATGTTTCCATATTTAAAGGTCTCACATAAAAGTTCTATTATAGCTTCACACACACAATCAAAGTCGTTTTTTATCACGGTGGCTGAGTGGATAGCACTCTCGCTTCTCAGCAAGAAGGTCCTGGGTTCAAATCCCAGTCTGAACAGGACCTTTCTCAGTGGAGTTTGCATGTTCTCCCCGTGTCTGCGTAGGTTTCCTCGGGGTGCTCCGGTTTCCCCTACCACTAAAAACATGTACAATAGGTCTGTGCCTCCTGTACTGGCCCCGCTCATCTCTGTGTGGAGTGAGAGACTAATGCCCAAAAATAACAATTGTAAACCTCTTTGTGACTCTGGTCTGTGAAAGGCGGTATATAAATAAAGATGACATACTTACTTTTTAGTTAGAGAGCCATCTTTCAATCAGTGAATAAGAAAGGAAGCAAATGTGGCTGGACTTTATCGACAGGATCTGCCTCTGAAATCCACGATGAGCTTTTCTGCGAGTGTCCCCCAAAGACCTTCCCTCTCCTCACACTTCCTCCAGCTCCACACGTCCCTCCAGCGTGTCCTTGATCTTGCCCGGGGTCTCCTCCCGGTGGGACGTCCCCGGAACACCTCTCCGGGAACAGATGCCCGAGCCACCTCAACTGGTTCCTCTCGACGTGGAGAAGCAGCGGCTCTACTCCGAGCTCCTCCCGTGTGACTGAGCTCCTCACCCTATCTCTAAGGGAGCAGCCACTCTGCGGAGGAAGCTCATTTCGACCGCTTGTATCCGCGATCTCGTTCTTTCGGTCATTACCCAAAGCTCATGACCATAGGTGAGGGAGGGAACGAAGATTGACCGGTAAATCGTGAGCTTTGCCTTTTGGCTCAGCTCCCTCCAACTGTTCAAGAGAAAGTCATATAAAAATGGCTTGGACAATGTATAATAGCAGGAACGGAAGAAAATGGGCACACGGACCATTAACAGAGACAAGGGGGCCTTCACCTTTGGCTCACACTTGGGACTCACTTCTCCAGAGACCACAGGGGGCGTGGCCAGTCCGACAGATGACATGACACAACCTGATTAACATTTTACATTTAAGATTCACTGGAGGAGATGGTTGGACCAATGACGACGACGGGCCTCAGCTGTCTGTCAAGGATTTGAATTCATTGCGACCAATCAGGAAGCAGTAGGGGCGGGTCTAACTAGTCCTTGCAGTATCCCAAACTATCGGAAAGTAACTGACCCTCACTTTTTGACTGACAAGAGGTAAAAGAAGCATTGCGTAACGTTGTGGTGAAGACCTGCTCTGCCGTCAGCGTCATTCTCTCAATACTTAATTTATTATCACAGGTTTGACAGTTTCTTTGGATCCAGCTCCGAACAATCAGTCAAAAGCAAGTTACAGCAAAAATACACGTCTGAGTTATCACCGCGAGCTCCTCCTGATCAGATTCTTTTATCTAAGCAGAACTGTGGCCCCGGGCTGAAGGCCCAGCACCTGTCAGAGTCAGAGAGGGCCCCGGCGTTTTGGAGCCACTGAAGAGATCTCCACTTTTACACATTCCACTGTTGATATTGTTGTTGATATATTTCCTTGATGAACTTGATCCTTTTACTGCATAGTTTTAAATGTGAACTTTATTAATCCCCGTAGGGAAATTTGTCCTCTGCATTTTACCCATCCTGATGCCGCTAAGGCTTACGTCAGGAGCAGTGGTCGCCGTAGTAACAGCGCCAGGAACCCATCTCCAGATGTTGATGCTCGGCGTGGTCAGGACCAGAACGCTGGAGGATTTAAACTAGTGTGAATATTTTTAGTGGTAGGGGAAACCAGAGCACCTGGAGGAAACCTACGCCAGACCGGGGAGAACATGTAAACTCCACTCAGAAAGGCCCTGTTCCGATTGGGAGTCAAACCCAGGACCTTCTTGCTGGGAGGCGAGAGTGCTATCTCAGTCAGCCACCGAGCCGCCCAATATGTGTCTGGCCATTTTCAACACACTTACTTTACCACGGTCGGACCTTTCTTGTAAGAAACCAACTGTAAATTAAATTATCTTTTGTCCAAACAGGAACAGGCAGAACTCTGGGTAGAATTATTTTATCTGTATAGCGCAGCTCATGCACAAGGGAACTCAAAACTAGACATAAACAATACAAGACATTACAATAAAAACTGATCATTTTGTACGTTAAAAAAGAGTGAAGGTACAATCCCTCAGTTGTTGGAGCTAAATAGAACTGTTTTCAACCTGGATTTGAACATTGTCATAGAAGAAGCCTGTTTCACATTTTCAGGAAGACGGATTTTAGCTGTATAAATCTGAAATGCTGCCTCCACATGTTTTAGTCCTGACTCTGGGACCAGCAGGAGGCCAGTCCCTGTGCTCCTCAGAGTCCCAGCAGGAGGCCAGTCCCTGTGCTCCTCAGAGTCCAGCAGGAGGCTAATCCCTGTGCTCCTCAGAGTCCCAGCAGGAGGCCAGTCCCTGTGCTCCTCAGAGTCCCAGCAGGAGGCCAGTCCCTGTGCTCCTCAGAGTCCCAGCAGGAGGCCAGTCCCTGTGCTCCTCAGAGTCCCAGCAGGAGGCTAATCCCTGTGCTCCTCAGAGTCCCAGCAGGAGCCCCTGGAGGAAACCAGAGCAGACACAGGGAGAATGTGCAAACTCCACTCAGAAAGGCCTGGAGGTGGATTCAAACCCAGGCCCTTCTTTCTGCTGGACAAGCCGGAGCTGCTGCCCCAATCCCTGGAACAGCGTCCAATATGAAGTCAGGTACCGCTCATGTTTAGAATATGGTAGTATTTATGGTATTTTTCTTTCTGCTGGGACGCAGGTTACACTGGGACACAGTTTTCCACTGACTCGAGGCTCCGAGGTTGGATGAAGAAAAGATTTATAAAAGAAAAAACACAGCTCATATATCACTTGTCACGTCTGGTCTTGTCTGGTGGAAAAAGACCAAGTGATTGTATTGAAGCAGACAGACACAGATACAGAGAGGAGGAGGGTCACAGGGAGAGTTTTCGGCCTAAAAACCAACTTCTGAAACTGATTAAAATCAAATGTTGGAAGAATATTATTGGATTTTTACTGTTATACAAGTTAGTGTTCAAAAGAAACTCAAAATAATGGACTTTGATATTGTCATTGATTATGTCTGGGTGAGGTTTAAGAACTGGCGGATCCAAAGATGCAGAACCAAGAAGTAGCCCGGTTTTTGGGAAACTGGAGGGGAGCAGGACAGGACCAGGACGGGACCAGGACGGGACCAGGACGGGACCAGGATGGGACCAGGACAGGACCAGGACAGAGGGCGACAAAGAGGAGGAGGTAAGAGACAGACCAGGACAGGACCAAGACGAAAACCAGGACAGAACCAAGACGAAACCAGGACGGGACCAAGACAGCACCAGGACAGAGGGCGACAAAGAGAAGGAGGTAAGAGACAGACCAGGACAGGACCAGGACAGGACCAGGACGGGACCAGGCAGGGGACGAAATAGGAGGAGGTAAGTGACCAACCAACGACGGGACCAGGACGGGAGCAGGATAGGACCAGGACGGGACCAGGACGGGACCAGGACCAGGACAGGGACCAGGACGGGACCAGGACGGGACCAGGACGGGACCAGGACGGGACCAGGACAGGACCAGGACGGGACCAGGACGGGAGCAGGAAGGACCAGGACGGGACCAGGACAGGGACCATGGACGGGACCAGGACGGGACCAGGACGGGAGCGGGACAGGGACCAGGACGGGACCAGGACGGGACCAGGACAGGGACCAGGACGGGACCAGGACGGGACCAGGACCGGGACCAGGACGGGAGCAGGATAGGACCAGGACGGGACCAGGACAGGGACCAGGACGGGACCAGGACGGGACCAGGACGGGACCAGGACGGGACCAGGACGGGACGCGGGACAGGGACCAGGACGGGACCAGGACGGGAGCGGGACAGGGACCAGGACGGGACCAGGACGGGACCAGGACGGGACCAGGACGGGACCAGGACGGGACCAGGACGGGACCAGGACGGGACCAGGACAGGACCAGGACAGGACCAAGACAAAACCAGGACAGGACCAGGACAGGACCAGGACGGGACCAGGACGGGACCAGGACAGAGGGCGAAGAGGAGGAGGTAAGTGACCAACTAACGACGGGTCCAGGACCAACGACGGGACCAGGACCAACGATGGGACCAGGACCAACAATGGGACCAGGACCAACAATGGGACCAGGACAGAGGATGATGAAGAGGAGAAGGAAAGAAGGAAACCCAGAAACAAGTATGTTTTTATAGCAGCAAGTTACCATTATGTACAATGCTTTATACAAACTATAAATAGAAATACAACATTTAACTTACTACTACTTATCACAAGTAAAGCCACGACATGGGGAGAACATGCAAACTCCACTCCATAATGCTAAGCGGACTGTACCAAAGCTTCATGAAAACAAACTGGTCATTAGCAGCACGTTGTCCTGATTTATCCGACTTGATCCAGAATGAAATGAGCCAAAAGCCAATTGTTTTCTTTCTCATCAAAGAATAACGAGGAGGACTAAGTTACCATTGGCTGCACGTCAGGAACAATATTGGCCTAATATAGCCCAATAAGCTCGCAATTTATCCAAAACGCTCCGTCGAAACTCTACTCTTCAATATAATTATGTACAGATGTAAACATGCAGCTATGTATTTGGCAGAGAGCTCTGGTATGTGTCGTCTCCTCATGTCTGGTGCACACCGGGGTAGTCTTGCACAGTTTTTCCAATGTGGTTTTACTGCAAATGGCAAATAAATGAATCTGAATCTGAATCTTGTGGCACTAGAATACACTGTACTTTATACTTTACTAAGCTTCTATTCATTCATTCATCCCTTTTTTAATCCATTTCTGGGTCGGGTGGGGGGCAATCAGAGCTGCCACCCAAACCTCATGACACCAGCTAAGTGTCTTGCCCAAGGACACAATAACAGCAGATGTGGGTCATGGCTCGGGAGCGAACCCCACAAAGACTAATGCCCCACCAACTGTCACCACCACTAATTGCTTCTATTATTTGTGCTAGTTATAGATTTCACAAAACCTAATTCTTCTGCTAAAGTTATGCTAAAGTTGCAGATTTTACTAAGTAAGAGATTTTTATTTTATTTTTGTATATTCTTATTGTTTATTTATCTTGGGCTGTGTGCTTCTTATTCCTACGTCCTGTAACTGGTGATGCAACACTGACATTTTTCCCACTGCTGGACAATAAAAGGATCTATTATTCTCTTAATCTTATTCTTAATGCCCCACAGTCTACATTTTACAAAAAACATACACATATAAAACAAATAGACGGATAATAATTGGTTAGCTGTCCTGTCGGATTAGCCTCATATTATTATAGATCCATGATTAACCTGGACGCCCCATGACTGTCGAGAAGTGGGTGCGTGGCGCTCTCTAGTGGAAAGCGTGGTCATTGCACCCGTATCTAGTGAACATTCTGCACCGTTATTATGGTCTGGTTCATTTCCGCTTCCAGCAAATTACAAAATAAAACAGATGTGTTTTAACCATAGACTGTAAATAATAACAACTCAAATCCCATGCTCAAGTCACGTGTTTATCTCGGAGGAATTACAAATGTATGATATTTTCAACCAGCCATGCCCCAACTTCAGTGGCACTTTAAAACAAAAAAACAACTAATAATTAATGCACTTTAATACTGTGTGAACTTTATTATTAATTTGTTGTATTATTTTTTTTACCACAGACCTATAATTTATTTTGATGTTGATTGGAACAGAGACTTCAAAGCACTACTGCACTTTCCTGTAATTAAAAAAAATATATTATTCATTCATGCAGATCTGTGTAGCACTGTATCCTACGGCAAATTTCCCTTGGGACAATAAAGTTTATCACACGTATAGAAATATTGCATGCTTTGACTTTATTGCGGTTATGTGTTTTACTTTTAAATTCTTACTCGCAGATTCGACACTCCTCAGCGGGAGTGGATTACGCACATAAACGCATGATTAAAACAGCCACTTCCAGGGTCCAGCTGCCCCTCTGTCTCACTGCCTCGGATCTGCGTTTAAACTCTAAAAACGAGACATTATAGTGAGTTATTTGCTGCCTCAAGAAGTGTCCAGCTTCTCCAGCGCAGGTGAGTGACGTTAGCCCTGTAAGCTAATGCCTCGCGCCTGTCATTTAGCTTAACTTTAGCTTGTTTTGAACAGACATGTGGACTTTGTTAGCTCATTAATTAAACTGGGTGCGTCCTGAACTGGGTTAGAATACCTCCTTTTAGTACCTTTTTAGACCTAGTTTGTTTATTTTTTTTATTTATATATATTTTTATTATTATTATTAATTTTACTTTTTCAATATTTACATCAAACGAGTTCTTATTTCGACATAAATGACCAGTTTGTTCTGTTGCATGTTCTTATAATGATTCAAAAAAAAAAAAAAAAAATGGAGACAGACATTCCGTTTGTTTATTGTGATCACGAGCCTTTCGTTTACATGACGTCATTTCTATTTAGTCCTTTGCTAATTATAGTATTATAAGTTATTATTATAAATTCTACATTGGTCTAACTGCTCCGTTGTTTTGAAACTGTCAAAATAACTTCTTCTACACCTTCTCATTGATAATGTTATTACTCCAAAAGCTTCTACTGATGCTATTACTGCTAGAATACTAGGTAGATAAGAGAAGATACACTTTATTGATCTCGCAATGGAGAATCACTCTGGTTGTGCAAAAAGACAGGAAGTGTGAAAACATGCTAAAAAGGTTAAAAATGAAGTCTCTCTTCTGCAAGATATATTCTGCACAATTAGAACATTTTGTGAAGTAAGGCTGTAAAGACTTATCCTTCCATTGGTTCGTTGCTGGTCTGGTTCTGTATAGTTTTCACACACATGCACTTTTGGCCTCTGTCATATCTTTAGATTAGTTTATTTCAGACAGACAAGTGAAAAAGAGAGGACCACCCTCACTCAGCCAATCACCTCTCAGCTCATACCACTAAATAAAATAAAATAAAAGATTCCTGACAAGATGCAGCATATTTTCATCTGATTTGTTCACATGTTACCTTAAGGAGACATTATTATAGACTATTGCTAATTAATTGAAAATATAATAATAAAGTTGCCCCCCCCAGCTTTAAAGTCAAAGGATCTTGTGGGTGATATTATATAGGTGGCCATACCTGTATGTTAAAGCAGTTCCTCTGATACAGTGGAGCGGCTGCCAGACTATCATTGTGTCCTTAGGCAAGACACTTCATCCACTTTAGAATGAGTCTGGTGAGTGGTTGGTGGTGGGAGGGTCTAATGGCACACACTGGTCGCATCGCTTCTGTCAGAGTGCCCTAGGGCAGCTGTGGCTAGACAAATGTGAAGCGTCTTTTGAGTGTCCAAGTGTTTACTTCTCATTTAGCTGACAATTTGTAAATAAACATACATTTGTTAATACATATACAAATAGTAAATAAACCAACAAATGGACGGTTTATTTGAAATTGATGGTTTAATGAAACTATGGACTATAATGTAATGTAACACTGAAACTTAGAACTTTTATTTTTCAAACACGATATGCCCCTAATCTGTTTTTCAGGGGGATGGAGAAAGCCAAACAGGATGCCTTTGACCACGCCCGGCTGCAGGTCATCCAAGACGGCTACAAGTCTGCCTTTGAGTGCATCAACCAGGGCCTGAGCGCGGACGAGGCCGGTGACAAGACGCACGCCTTGGAGCTCTACCAGCGGGGGCGCCGTCACCTCCTGCGGGCCGTGAGCGTGCCTTCCACCGGGGACGAGTGCGTGGGCGCGGCCTGGAACTCGGCTCGAGAGATGCAAACCAAAATGCAGGAAACTCTCAACAACATCACCACGAGAGTCGCCATTCTGGAGACCAACTCCGAGGCGGCGCCTGAGAGCAGACTCTACCCGGAGGTTTCGGATCAGGACAAACCTCACAGACCGCCTCAGAGACCGCCTCAGCCCAGCGTGGCGAGCAGCGCACTGGGAGGTAGGCTTCGACACACGCAAAACACACCGCAAAGTCTGCAGTTTATTTAGAAGAAGAAGGTCCTTTATTCAACCGACAGTGGGGACATTTCAGTTTGATGAAGACACATACACATCAAAGTGTCTTGCCCAAGGACACGTCATCAGCAGACATTAGTTGAGTCGGTCTTTCGTGGTGGGCTCGAACCCACAACCTTCAGGCTCAAAGGCCATTGCTCTACCAACTAAGCCACTGTGGCGGATTCCAAACAATCCTTTATCAGATTTAAAGCCCTGTTTCCACCATCCCCACTTGGCCCAACTCGGCTCTGCTCGACTCTACCCACGATTGGGAGCATTTCCACTGGCCTTGTTTAACCACTCCTCCTCCAATAGCTCTAACAATGTTTGACATGGTTTGGTTTGGTTTTAGGGATTCATACATTGTTCCCTAAACATAGTTCAATGGTATTTGGTTATTTTTGTCAATATTTTAAAAAGGGCTTCAATTGATCTAGTCTTGGAACGTCTCTGCTTTTCCAGCTCTGCAGATTTTTTTTTTTTTTAAACCAGTGGGGAAACAGTGATTTGCAATCCCATTGGGAATCTAATGCTGTCCATGTTCTGAAGTAAGCAGACTTCAGGTGTGTCTAATTCTATTTGTGTTGCATCATTGATAATGTGAGTCCGAAAACTTTATTGATCACAAAAAGCAGAAAACACAGACCCTACACAGAAACACAGTTGGAGGGCACAAAAGAATTGGGTAAATGGTTTGATAAATGCTTTGTCGGGGTGACAGTGGCTCAGTTGGTAGAGCATTGGCCTTTTGAGCTTCTCCACCAACTCCCACTGATGTCTGCTGTTGATGTGTCCTTGGGCAAGACACTTAAGCCCACTTTGCCTGAAGCCCCCACTGAAAGATCAAGGCTATGCTTGCACTGACAGATCAGCCTCCTGTGGACTCAGCACCTGCAGGAGGATCAGTGAGGGGCGGGTGCTCTGTGACTTGGCATCAATGACTGCCCCCCCCCCCCCCCCCCCCCGACCCAGAAAGGGATTAAGGGGAAGAAAATGGATGAATGGTTTGATAAAAAAAACAATGTGCATGTGTCTTCAGTGTGATTGTGTAATGATGATACTTGGTCACTGTATCATTTATATCATAATGACTGTTGGTTCTCAGCTGTAGCTAACTCCAGCCTCTGCCTCCACAGTCCCAGCCCTCCCCATGTCCCCCGCCTCCCAGCACAGACCCCCGGCCGGCCTGCCCCCCGCCTATTCCCCCCAGGCGGCCGACGGTCACCTGTCCCTCTCGTACGGGACAGACTCGGGGGAGATGTCCGCAGTGGGGGAGGACTTCTACAGCCAGTGCCCCAGCCCCTCCCCCCAGAGCCTGGCCTGGGAGGACGGGGAGGAGCTGCTCTACATCCCACAGGGGGTGCAGATCTTCTTTGTGACCCCCCAGGGAGATGTGAGCGCGCCCTCCTACCCCGGCTTCCTGCGCCTCGTCAAGTTCACCCACGAGGCCACGCCCAACAGACCGCCCGCCTTCCTGCAGGTCAGAGGGGGTTTGAAAGATGCTGTATCAGAATCAGAATCATTTTTATTGCCACGTAAGCAACAGGAGGTCACAGACTTGGAAATTGCTTTGGCTCAGTGCAACAGTCAGAAAGAGATAATAAAAATAAGAATAAAAAACACTTCTAAAGAATACATTTAAAATAGAGTTACAGTTACTATTTACAATATACAAGTGCACATGGTGCACACAATGTAAGGTGACAGCAGTACAGTGAAGTAAAGTGACGTATGATGGGCAGTAAAGTGACTTTATAAAGGGCGGGGGACAGGTTAAGAAGTGTTCAAGAGTCCAACAGCAGAGGGGAAGAAACTGTTCTTGTGGCGGGAGGTTCTAGTCCTGATGGACCGCAGTCTCCTGCCTGAGGGGAGTGGTTGGAATAGTCCATGTGCAGGTGAGAGGGGAGTGGTTGGAATAGTCCATGTGCAGGTGAGAGGGGTCGGCTGTGATACGACCAGCCCGGCCTCGAGCTCGGGCGACGTACAGGTCCTGCAGCGATGGAAGGCTGCGGCCGATCACTTCCTCTGCAGAGCGCACAATGCGCTGTAGTCTCTGTTTGTCCCTGACTGTGGCTCCAGCGAACCACACGGTGATGGAGGAGGTGCTGGAGGAGGTGATGAGGAGGTGATTATTATTTATTATTATTATATTATTATTGTCGTTGTTATAGAGGACCCTGGTCCTTGTTGGAATGATGCTATCCTCACAGAAGTGAATGTATGACGTCACAGTGTCCGTGTATTCATCCAAACTGTCTGTGGCAGCTCTGAAAAGGTCCCAGTCTGTAGATTCCATGCATGCAGCTCTTCCACAGCTTCATCAGACCACACTTTGGAGCTCCTCACTGCAGGTTTCGAGAGCTTTAGTCTCTGTCTGTAAGCAGGAACCAGATGTATCATGGAGTGATCTGAGAAGCCGAGGGCTGGCTTGGGAACAGCGCGAAAAGCTCCGCGCACGGTGGTGTAACAGTGATCCAGAGTGTTCTCCTCTCTGGTCGGGCATTCGATAAACTGTCTGTATTTGGGTAATTCCTGGCTCAAGTTTCCCTTATTAAAATCCCCCAGGATAATAATCAGAGAGTCCGGGTATAAGCGTTCCATACACAGTACTTGCTCTGCGTCTGCGCATGGCGGTATGTAAACAGAGGCAAGAATGAATGAAACAATTTCGCGCGGGGAGTAAAATGGTTTACAATGAATGAAAAGATATTCCAGAGCAGGAGAACAGTGCTTGGAGATCACTGTCACATCGTTACACCAGTTTATATTGACGTAGAAACACAGCCCACCGCCTCTGCTCTTCCCTGAGAGCGCACAATGGCGATCCGCGCGGAACAGCCCAAAGCCCTGCAGCTCCAGAGCGCAGTCCAGGATCCGCTCATTTAGCCAGGTCTCAGTGAAGCAGAGGACACAGAGGACACCAGGTCTCAGTGAAGCAGAGGACACAGAGGACACCAGGTCTCAGTGAAGCAGAGGACACAGAGGACACCAGGTCTCAGTGAAGCAGAGGACACAGGATGTGGCGAAGTCCTTGTTTCTTCTCATGAGCAGGCTGAGTTCGTCTTATTGCCCAGTGAGCGTACGTTGGAGAGAAAAATGCCGAGGAGAGCCGTGCGCGCTCCTCTCCTAAGACGCACCAGCAGGCCTCCACGCCTTCCCCTTTTACGGACCCACACTTTTTTGGCTAGAACATGGACTAAATCAGCCGCAGATGGCAAGAAAACAGGCAATAGGTCCATGGGGACGGTGGGTCGGATGTTCATGAGTTCCTCACGGGTGTAGGAACAGCCAGATGCACAGTTAAAAAGTAAAAACAAAAGAAAAAGAGAGCAGCAAAGAGCCATGTTGACCGTACGAGGCGTCATCTTTGTATTTTTACCTTTTAAAAAAATGCCTATTTTCCAGAATATACTATTAGCTACTTTTGTGTTTTTCAACATGTTTTGAGCCACCGTCTGATATGACAAAGAATTACGTGGTTACTTCACAGTTCAAAACAAGTCAGCACTCGCTAACGTGGATGCATTTATTTTTAGACAAAGTAGGCAAATTTTCTCACGGCACACCAGAAAATATATACATCATATGCACAGTGGTTGAAAAACACTGCGCTACTTTGTTCTAGTTCTTTGATCCCTGCGGCTTATATAGCGATGCGGCTAATATGTGCATTTATATTGTGTCAGAGTTGTTGTTTTGACTCCATCAAGTTTCAGTAGCTACAGGACACTGGTTTATTCTCATCCCTGCACCTAACAAAGTTTAAACAAGCCCAAAATGGTGCGAACCGACAGCCAAATTATTGCTGCAGTTTAATTAACACATTTGACCCACAGTAGTTTCCTGAAAGAACCTTTGTGTTTTCCCAGAGCTGTACAATCTTCAGGGAGATCAAAGAGTCAATTGTTGCTTTTTCTGCCCCATCTCTGTGTGGAGTGACAGACAAAATGGCTAAAAAATTGCAATTGTAAAAAAAACAGCAATTGTAAAGCGCTTTGTGACTCTGGTCTGTGAAAGGCGCTATATAATTTAAAGACTACACTACTTACTTACAATTGTTTTATTTATTTTTATTGGAGTGTTTTTAGTTAACTGAAACCGAGTTTGTTTAAATGTCTTCTGGATCCAGGACAGTGTTAAAGGTTTAAGTGTGTCTCAGTATGATCCAGTGTGTCTCAGTATGATCCAGTGTGTCTCAGTATGATCCAGTGTGTCTCAGTATGATCCAGTGTGTCTCAGTATGATCCAGTGTGTGTCAGTATGATCCAGTGTGTCTCAGTATGATCCAGTGTGATCCAGTGTGTCTCAGTATGATCCAGTGTGTCTCAGTATGATCCGGTGTGATCCAGTGTGTCTCAGTATGATCCAGTGTGTCTCAGTATGATCCGGTGTGATCCAGTGTGTCTCAGTATGATCCAGTGTGTCTCAGTATGATCCAGTGTGTCTCAGTATGATCCGGTGTGTCTCAGTATGATCCGGTGTGATCCAGTGTGTCTCAGTGTGATCCAGTGTGTCTCCATATGATTCAGTGTGTCTCCGTGTGATCCAGTGTGTCTCAGTGTGTCTCAGTGTGATCCAGTATGTCTCAGTGGGATCCAGTGTGATCCAGTGTCTCAGTATGATCCAGTGTGTCTCAGTATGATCCAGTGTGTCTCAGTGTGATCCAGTGTGTCTCAGTATGATCCAGTGTGTCTCAGTATGATCCAGTGTGATCCAGTGTGTCTCAGTATGATCCAGTGTGTCTCAGTATGATCCAGTGTGATCCAGTGTGTCTCAGTATGATCCAGTGTGTCTCAGTATGATATGATCCAGTGTGTCTCAGTATGATCCAGTGTGTCTCAGTATGATCCAGTGTGTCTCAGTATGATCCAGTGTGTCTCAGTATGATCCGGTGTGTCTCAGTATGATCCGGTGTGATCCAGTGTGATCCAGTGTGTCTCCATATGATTCAGTGTGTCTCCGTGTGATCCAGTGTGTCTCAGTGTGTCTCAGTGTGATCCAGTATGTCTCAGTGGGATCCAGTGTGATCCAGTGTCTCAGTATGATCCAGTGTGTCTCAGTATGATCCAGTGTGTCTCAGTGTGATCCAGTGTGTCTCAGTATGATCCAGTGTGTCTCAGTATGATCCAGTGTGATCCAGTGTGTCTCAGTATGATCCAGTGTGTCTCAGTATGATCCAGTGTGATCCAGTGTGTCTCAGTATGATCCAGTGTGTCTCAGTATGATATGATCCAGTGTGTCTCAGTATGATCCAGTGTGTCTCAGTATGATCCAGTGTGTCTCAGTATGATCCAGTGTGTCTCAGTATGATCCGGTGTGTCTCAGTATGATCCAGTGTGTCTCAGTATGATCCGGTGTGTCTCAGTATGATCCAGTGTGTCTCAGTATGATCCAGTGTGTCTCAGTATGATCCAGTGTGTCTCAGTATGATCCGGTGTGTCTCAGTATGATCCAGTGTGTCTCAGTATGATCCAGTGTGTCTCAGTATGATCCGGTGTGTCTCAGTGTGATCCGGTGTGATCCAGTGTGATCCAGTATGATCTGGCGTGTCTCGGTATGATCCAGTGTGTCTCAGTTTGATCCGGTATGCCTGATAAATTATTTTCCATAATAATCGTTATAACGTTTAACAGTCAAACTGTCAGAACACGCACACATACATAGCACTCATATTATCATCATCATTATTATCTGTTTCTTTGATAGGGACAGAATATGAAGCATTGTTACAAAAAGGGATTGCCAGGATTATAGGCCCTATAGCTAACGGCTAAGCACATCTTATTACAGTTTTGGTGTATTAGAACATAATAAACATAACTTGATACATTTAGGTCTTTGTATTCTGTCTCCAAAAAACAACTGTTAACTCCAAACAGTCTCTGTATCAGAGAGCTCACCCGGACATGATGAGGAAATAAGTCCCAGAGCAGTTGATCCTACTGTGGCCTTTGACTGCGTCACGCTCTTAGACCTTTGGCCAAAAGGTTTGAAATCCTTTTGTCTAATCTACTGCAAAAACGGAAAACAAAGAAGATCATTACCAGATTACAGAACTCCTAATCTCTAGACAAAATGTAAATATTGAAAAACCATCAATGAGAGACCTCCCTCTGGTCTTGTGACTGCACCATTTTACGACCCGTCTGTTGGAGGTCTCCTGATGGTCTCCTGATGGTCTCCTGATGGTCTCCTGATGGTCTCCTGATGGTCTCCTGATGGTCTCCTGATGCTGCCGACGCAGAGATCCTAACGAGCGACAGTGTTATTACTTGTTTGTGTTAATGGCCATGAAACCCTCAGACCACGGAATAAGACCGAGCAGTCACAAAGCGGGCCCTGTCTGGTCTGTCCTGTGCCCGACCATGCTGTAGGTGTGAGGCTGCAGAGATCCACCACAGCCTGAGGAGCAGTGAGGAGCAGTGAGGAGCAGTGAGGAGCAGTGAGGAGCAGTGAGGAGCAGTGAGGAGCAGTGAGGAGCAGTGAGTAGAGTGAGGAGCAGTGAGGAGCAGTGAGTAGAGTGAGGAGCAGTGAGGAGCAGTGAGGAGCAGTAAGGAGAGTGAGGAGAGTGAGGAGCAGTGAGGAGCAGTAAGGAGCAGTGAGGAGCAGTGAGGAGCAGTGAGGAGCAGTAAGGAGAGTGAGGAGCAGTGAGGAGCAGTGAGGAGCAGTGAGGAGCAGTGAGTAGAGTGAGGAGCAGTGAGGAGCAGTAAGGAGAGTGAGGAGAGTGAGGAGCAGTGAGGAGCAGTAAGGAGCAGTGAGGAGCAGTAAGGAGAGTGAGGAGCAGTGAGGAGCAGTGAAGTCTCTGCTGTCAGACTATTTCCATCCATACACACTCGTACATATACATACACATATACACACACATATACAAAAGTTGTCGCACTCTATTTCCATCATAGGATTACAAATCTTCAACTGTGAGTGTCAGAATGTGACTCTAGGGAAAAACATTTTATTATTGTTATTTTATTATTTTATGTGTTTGTAAAATAATTCTAAATATATACAACAGCAATTCAACTCAATATGTTGTAATGTAACCGTCATGGTCCCCAGGTTCATACATAGACCAGCACACACTCTAGACCGACCAGCACACACTCTAGACCAGCACTCTAAACCAGCACAC